GCTATGATCGTTTATTTTCCTAACGCTCCCCTATAGACTGGCTTCTAGATTTTGACAACCTCTGCATTTTGGTGCCCTGGGGCAGAATCCCAGTTGTCTTGTCCAGCTACAATCCTTGGTGTAGTACTCCTATTTTACAGGTGAGGAACACTGAGATGCCAGAATATTTAAAGCATCTGGAACTATGAAAATTTGGGGGTTTAACTCACATCACTCATACATAGGTGTACCAGTAGATCCCAAACTATCCTTGGCACATGTCTCATTTTAAGGCACCAGGGCAATGAAACCCATGTTTAGGCAGCTGAAGTGATCACAACACAAGCCAGTGAAGCAACTATCAAAGAACCAACAATGAACAAGGAAGACTATGCCGGCCAGAATTCTCCACCCAGTGTGGCCACGGCCATATTCTGAGCGATGCAGGAATTTGTGTTGTTTTTTAAAGTGGTATTTCCAGGCCCCAACAGAGTTGGCAAGGTTGTTGTTTTGTAAAGTCTGGAAAGGACCTTTTGTTCAAGACATAAGTCACTTTGTAGCCTATGCGCATATGCCGTAGGATAAGTGGTTTAATAATGGCATTTTTTTTATCTTTAAAGCAGAAGGCCATTAGAACGAAATGAGATTGTGTAATAATATTAGGTTGGATAAAACCGCTATACAAAGATTAGGCAATAAAAGAAAAGGTAGGACGTCATTAGATATAATGTAGAATCATCTTCAAGGCACTTGGTTGCCATAATCCTTGTTCGAAAAGAGACAGAAGAATGTCAATTTTTATATTTCATAAATGTATTTTATTCTAGTTATCTGGTTCTGTTCGTTTGTTTGTTTAGGAGCGAGGGGGAGTGTTTCATATCAGACATAAAGAAAGAAAAATCTTGCATATATGAAATGCTGGATAGAAGTATCTGAATGTGGAGCCAGAGGCTGGGAATTCAATTCTCCACTTTTGCCTCTTTGACAGGGGGTGGACTCGATGATCTATAGGATCTTCTCCCAGCTCTGGAGTTCTACGATTTATTATTATTATTCAAAAATACCAGGCACAGTCAATCAAAATTATGAAAACATTAACCAAAAACCTAAGTATATGTTTAATATCAACACAGTACATATGCTGTTTCCTAATATTGGCGTTTTTTGTATCTCTGATGGTGTTATTTTCTGAGATCTGCAACTGCTTATAGTACTGTCTGAAATTTCTTCTTATACACTTGCTGGTTTTTGAAATATGCTCACCCCTTTCTGAGAACCCCCCCCCCAGTGTAGCATACTGTAGATTAAAAAAAACCAATAAAACTATATTATTTTAACTATTATTATTATGCTTAAGGGAGGCAGTCTCCTCCCATCCAAAACCCCAGCGCATGCATGCTGTGGCATTTTAAAGTGCTTGTGGTATAAGGTTCATACCACGCTTCCTCTCTTTTTTCCTGTTCTGCTGATAGGGAAGATGAATTCAAGGAAATACAAATCTCCCTTCTGTCTCTGACTGGCCTAAATATGAACCTCTGTCATTGTTATCCTTAACTAGGTAACAAATAAGACTGGCTGGGTTACTCTTTCACAGCAAAAACCCATGAAGTCTTGCAGTGCCTTAAAGTCACAACGATTTTTATTGTTTCAGTCTTACTTGAGTGTGAAAATCCTCTGAATAATGTGCCTTTAACCATATTTGTACCAGATTGAATATTTTGGTCCCCTAAAGTCAAATTTTGTCACAAGAACAATACAGGACTTGACCTGCAGGATAGGTGTTCTACAATGAACATAATTGAAATAATATTAGCTGTGGGTCCAATGGCAATTGTATTTTAATTGTTCTAAATTTTATTGTATTTTAAATGTTGTAAGCCGCCCAGAGACCTTTGGGTAGTGTGGGTAGCATATAAATAAATAAATAAATAAATAAATAAATAAATAAATAAATAGATGATGATGATGATGATGATGATGATGATGATGATGATGATGATGATGATGATGATGATGATGATGATGATG